GGCACCCTCGCCTCGCCCCGCTCGGAAAGCGCTACCTGTGCCTTGTTCTCCCTCTCCCCGCAGGACGGTCCCGCGCCCTCCGCTGCGAAGAGAATGGCCGTGACTCTAGAGCAGGCCCGGCGGGGGGGCTATACCTGTCTGAAAGCACTCCTCAGGTTCGCTTTTATGGTCGCCAATAATCTGGTTGCTATTCCGTCCTACATCTTGTATTTAATTATGCTGCAGCCTCTCCGAATGTTGGATAGTAAAAGCTTCTGGTATATCGAAGGAGTATTATTTAAGTGGCTCTTAGCGATGGTGGCTTCCTGGGGCTGGTGGGCAGGATATACAGGTAAGAATGTCTTGTTAACTTAAAATGTACAAATATGAAGATATAAATAAGTGTGCAAACACAGATGTTGTAGTATGGGGATGTGTAGGGGAATATGTAAATACAGTGGATATGCAGGATGTTTTTCTTTCAGGCTTCTTACACAGATGCTTTGTATTTCTGGATTGAGATGCTGAGTGTACTGAAACGTGTTTTTGAAATCGTAGGTACAAACTTCTTATGTGTTAAGTAAGAGTTTCTCAATCAGTATTTTGTCTTAGTGTAATCTGAAATATGATTTTTCCAAAGTATCTTGATCACTTTGTTTTAGTGTTACATGAAAAAGGTACATCTCCTCAAAAGAGATGTATGTGTGGTGCATGTAGCTAGTATGGATAGAGCCAAACTTTTCTTTATTGAGTCTGTGCATCTCTAAATCATCTCCACTTAAAACTATCAGGACACGAGTCTAAGAAGTTTGACACGAAGCTCGTGTCAGAAGAGTAGGTCTTCTATTCCTTGCAACAGTGACTGTCTTTGCTGCTTCAGAATGGAGGGAAACAGAGGGAAGCTCTTTCATACCAATAGTGATACGCAGTGTTTCTCAGCTGTATGTCTCTTCATTTACTGTTAGCAGAGCTAATTACAGAATCTGTAGGTTTTTTCCCCTCTGCATGCTTGCTCTGCAGTTATTACTGAACTTACTTTTGCTTCTTAGTATTCATAGGCTCATCAGGGTGATGGACTGAACTGAAATATTAAGGAAGGCTCTAGTCTTGTCCTTGAATGCACTGCTTTACATCCTGGCTACTGCACTTTGTGCAAGAAAACAGCCATTGATTGATTCTTTGTATGTGCTTAGACCTTGGAAAGGGAAGGAAATTAATCTACTGAGTACAAAATATGAACAGCCCTCCTAAAATTCTTTCCCTCTCTTCTGCCCAGGCTGCATCCGCGGGTCTTGTCCATGTAAACAAGGAAAAAAAGGAATGGCAGCACACAGCTCTGGAGTCTGGTCAGACTCCTGATTAGTCAGAAAGTCAGTGTTGACCCAGATGGAGCACTCTTTTTGTTAGGCTACAAGAGCTGAAGCTTCTGTTGATAATGTGCCTTTTGGTACCCTGTCGTGTGCCTTTCCGAGATGCACAGTTTCTGTGGATACTCTAGGTGAGCTTCCAGTTCTTCTTAAGGAGATAGTGGCAGCAGCAAGCTAGATTCTGGTCTATCGGGCTAGAACTGTCGCAACGTTGCACTGCTTCAAAATTGCCTTGCCTGATACAGCTCAAGCTTTTCCAGATATGCTGTTTTAAAAATCTTTCTGTATGTTTGTATTTGCTCATTAAAAGAAGCCCACATAGTATTTGCAGTGGCAGGTATATTTTTAAAAGTTTGCTTTATGCTTGAAAGCACAAAGGCCTTCCAGAAGGAAGGATTGACTTTCAAGGTGTCGTGTGTATTATTAATTGGAAATGGGAAAGTTTATGGGCATAATGGTAATGTTAAAATTGTACAGCATATGACTCCGGGGATTCACTGTGTATATTGAACATGCTAGTTAAAATTCAAGCCATTGTCCCATGACAATATGATTGCCAATTTTTGAAAGTGGTTTCCTTGGGATAGTTTTACTGCTGACTGCAGAACTGTGTGGTTTCTTTTGCCTCTTGCTTGGAAAGTGGTCTTAGCATGATCTGCATATCCTAGAGTCTTCCTGAAGCATCTGTTGATTGGTGTTGCTGATGTATCTTGACGATTTGAAATCATTTGTTTTACAGTCTTGAAATGTTTTAGTATGTTTGTTTGAACTATCATTTACAAACGGCTACACAGAAGTGTTTTCTGGGATGGTGTATGGGTAAGGAGGCCCTTCTTTTCACTTTTCACAATAAAGCATGGCTTTTGTTTTGGGGGGGATTTTAAACAAATGCTTGCACAAAGTCTCAGTTTAAATGTATTTTATTTGATATGAAGACATTAACACGTCTTATACTGAAAGCTACAAAGTAGCAAGAATAGTTTATTTCTTTGTCTATTCTTTCTTTACCTTCATCAGTGCTCACCACCACATGCAGAACAAACCTGGAAAGTGTATCTTTCTGGCTTCAACATATCTAGACAGAGTAACTTACGTGTCTGTTTCCAGACAGATACATTTATAAAAGACTGTCGCTAGGTCCCCTCTTCTTATAGAGTACAACATAACTAATTCAGAACTGAAATACTACTCTAATATTAGAGCTGGTGTCTAAGACTTGCAGTGGTGCCTCTGAAAGAGACATTGCTCCAGAATTCTTCTGTTTTCAGTTCCAAAAACTAAGTCAAAGATAGGCTTCAATATGTTCCATCTTTGCAAAAGTAAATACAAGATAGTAGGTGTGTATGGGTTCATTGAGAAGATTAAGGAATTTTCTTTTCTTTTGAGTAGCAGAACGGTTGGTCAGTTGGAGGTTTTTTTGGTTTTCTTCTTGATTGAGAGGGAACTAGCTAAATAAGTTTACTTGTCTTTTAATTTGAGGTAGTGTTCTGCTTTGGTTGTGTTGAAGGCATGTTTCAGGTTTTTTAATTTATTTACTTTTTCCCCCTCTGAGGTTGGGTCATCTGTTGGGTGTGAAGTAACAGAAACCATTTGTAATTAGGGACTTAAATGCAGCCTGCAAAGTAGATTCAGGGTGGACTTTTTTTCCCCGTGTAAGTTTGTATGTAACGTGTAGAAAAGAGCTCAACACCAAATGAAGGAAATACGGTGAGTGCTAGGTTTTCCTTCTCGACTTTGCTGCTGTTGTGTAATTGTTGGTATATTTTATTGAATAAAGCTGGAAGAGCTGAGGAAAACTCATAAACTAGGTCTGCCCTTCTCCTCCCCACCCCTGCATAAACCTGTGTTTTTGTGCTAAGATTCTAGACGATGTGTTACAGAAATTACATGATCTGTGTCTATATCAGCAGCTCTAATCTGTGCTTTTTGATAAATGTAGGTGTTTCTGTTTGCAGGTGCACTTGATGTTATGTAAAGAGATAGTGTATAACTGGACAAGCAAAATAAAGAAAGGAACGGAAAGAGAAATTGTAAAGGTCACTCTCCTTTCCCTAATCTTTTTCTTCTTAAGATGCAAGTATGAGAGAGAACTTGGGTATAATTGGTTGCCTTTGATTTTTAAAGGGCAGAGTATGATAAATATCTATGTTGTTCTCTTGAACTCTATAGCGTTTCTTATAAAAAGGAAAACCGAGTGTCTTTTTATAAAGAACGTTCAGATAGTCTAGCAATGTTATTTTTACATGCTCTCAGAAAGACCTTCTTATAAATCTTCTAAGCTTTTTTCTTTTTTTAAGGCTTTTTGTATAAATATTGCTCTCATCATAGGAGCTGTTCAGTTAGGACGCTTGGAATCTGCATATTAGTGTGATTTGAAAGGCACCTTTGAATAATGCTTCTGAATGTTTCCCTGCATTTCTTGGGAGATGCATTCTAAAAAAAGCAAACTCAAGAGTGCTTGATCCTTTGCTGGCAAGTACCTTTTTTTTCCCTATACTATAATTTGTCATTTAATATACCAGTAAACCAGAAACCACTAAATAGTGCAGTAGATGTAATGGGAGGGAGGTGGAGCATGTCTGTGGTCGTGCATTTTTGATGACCTCCTGCTCACCTACAAAACTAGTTTTGAAGCGTCCATCTTCTAGATTTGAACTTCTTTGGGCAAGTAACTATTGCAGACTGAAGTTTAATATGCCTGTATCTAATCAAATCGCTAAAAATAGGACTGCTAGAGAAAAGCTTGCTTTGCTTAAATACTCTTAGACAAACTGTTTTGTTGTCTTCTGCTGTCTGAATGCGTAAGTTAGCATTAGCCTGTGATAGTATTGTTGCGGTATTGCAATTAGAAGTTTCTAGGACAGCAGAGTAATCGGTTAGCAATGCAGTCCTGATACCCGTGATGCTAATCTTGTGCTTCACTCTGCTCCACACAGCTCGGTCCCACTGTAGGGAGCGGTGGTGTGTGCCCAGCCTGTACCTCTGGCTGGGGACGGGGAGGAGCTGGCGGCGGGTGAGTGTCCTCTGTCTGCAGCAACCCTCAGCGCTCTTCTGCCTGTTGCAGCACCAGGGGAGAGAAGCGTTGCATGTGGTCAGCAGGGTTGTGCGCATCTTGGGAGGGGGTTTCCATGAGACCTGTGCTTGGAGTATTTCATATTCCGGCAGCGAAGAGGACAACTTGACAAAACCCTCTGTTTCAGCCTCTTGCCAACACACGCAGTCTTGCAGTAATGTTGGACACGTTGGTGGGCTGATGAAGAGTAATACACCTCTGTTACCACGCACAAAAAAGTCTTAGTGGTGTGAGAATGCTTACTGGTATAATGATGCAGTGGTTAATAAAAAGTGAACTAATCCTATGGTATTGCCTGTTACTGTTCTGTGTCAGTCAGGAAGGTGACATTTAAAGAGTGTCTGTAAGAACTGTCAAGGTTTCTCAAGTGAGGGGAATTTCCCTTTCCTCCTTTGTTATTCAGCCAAATAGAGTAAAACTGAGATTTGGATTTTTAGTTGTGTCCCCCTCCCTTCAAATGATTTAAAATTTATTGGCTGATTTGTATGTATGATTAAGTAGTGACCACAATATAATTTTTTCAGCAGTCATACTTTTTTTACCTCTAATTCAAAATCTTCTGTGTTTCCATTTCATCAGTCAACAGCCTGAACTCCTGTAATCTTCTAAGAATGCGAATATTTTTGACTTCCAGAACTGTAAAAGATACAGGTGGAGTTGCTTGGGCAACATTTCTTCAGTGCAGACAGCATGTGCTGTCTGCGCTGCTGCTTGTTGCAAGTCGGCCCCTCTCCTCAGGCAGGAAGCACAGCAGAAGTTGGAGAACAGCAGATAAAGTAATTTTTTTGCCCCAAATAAGGCAGGAGGTGTTATTTCAGGAGGCCTATCTGTGCCTTTAACCCTGCCGTTGTTTTCTATCCTCCTCTGTTCCTGCAGTGTGGGAGTTTTTTTGTTTGTTTGTTTTTAACTGGC